CACATAATTGCAATATATTTTTTTAATGCAGTAATGAAGAAAAATTAAATGAAAAAAAAAATGTTACAATGGAATTACAATGTATTACAGTATTAGTATTGATATTTCATTTGGTTGCACCTCCGTTTCATTCATTAAGAAACATGATGAGCAATTATATTTCACTGCAAATTTTTTAAAGTAAATTGTGAACATCTCTAGATCCATAAAGTATTTTTGAATTGGCACCTTCTCTGAAAAACCCAGCGGGGGGTATTTGTCCCTATTGGACAGTTCTAGTTAAGTTTAGTTACGATTGATAAAAGTTTAAGTAGTTTGTAGTGGATCAATATTTTATCAATCGAAGATTCAATCGACGAGTAATAAAGATAAAGAGAACATCGTAAACCAATATTATCAAAGATAAAGAGAAGATAGAAAGAAAAGCGGAGAGAATTAAGAGAACTGTCAAACTATAAATCGCCAGAACTTTACTGTTGAATTAAACCGGCTTAACCCAGCAGGCACACAACATTGAATAAACTTTGAGTCAACGTTGTTCTTCTATGTTGATTCAACATTGATTTTATGTTAGATTTTGAAAATTTGTATCAACGTTGAAGTCAGAATATTGAATCAACATTGATAATCAACGTTGATTAAATGTTGAAAAAAGGGCACACAAAATTGAATAAACTTTGAATCAACGTTGTTTCCTATGTTGATTCAATATTGATTTTATGTTAGATTTTGAAAATTTGTATCAACGTTAGTCAGAATATTGAATCAACATTGATAATCAACGTTGATTAAATGTTGAAAAAAGGGCACACAAAATTGAATAAACTTTGAATCAACGTTGTTTCCTATGTTGATTCAATATTGATTTTATGTTAGATTTTGAAAATTTGTATCAACGTTGAATTGTTAACATTGAATCAACATTGATAATCAACGTTGATTGTATGTTGAAAACAGTTGATTCAACATTTATTCAATTAATTATTTTGGAAATGGGGGGGGGGGGGGTCATATAGTAATAATATGGAATTATTGATAATATTGTATATGTACCATGTAAGGATAAAAGAAAGCCCAAACATACATTTAAATTGGTTTAATCTAATCTGTTATCAAAATCTTCATGAAATATTTATTTTATCATTAAGAAGAGGCCCATGGGCTCAGATAAGCTACATGTATAAATGAAAGTTCCATCATTAAGAGTCGGCATAATGTCATTTTCTACGGCCACAATCCTTTCTCCGGGGCCCATTTGAGATAATTTTCCAAAGCTTCCACAACCTGTTTTTCCGTTGTATTGTATATGCTCATCATGACTTCTAAAAAAACATGAAATATAAAACCCCAAAAATAAATGAATTTCTATTAATTCATTACAGCAAAAAGATGAAAGGATTTTTCAATAAAACAACCAAGAAATTGTGTATACATTGTTTAAATCCAATATGATCACCTAATTACCTTTGATCAATTTGAAGAAATTAGTAGATCCAAAGGCATGTTTTCTTTCCCGAGATATTCATATAAATTATCAGATTATAAGACATAACTTTGTTCGTCATACATCTGTGACTAATTCAACTTTCCAAATTAAAAAATGCAAGTTGCATTCATAAATTCATTTAAAATCCTCAAACTTACCGCATTAATTCGTTAATCTTCCCTTTTTAGATAGTCTCTGGATACACATGTGCTCCTCTGTTTACCCGAAGAGATGTCAAATTAGTTCGAACAAAAAATGATCGCATTATTAGATAAGACATACGCTTACTGTTTCGAATACGCATTGTAAAAACATGATGCATAATCTTGTACGTAAATCGTGTATATTGTCATCGCGGTAAAACGTGTAATGCTGAATAATTGCACAAAATATTAAACTGGCAAAAAAAAAAAAAAAAAAAAAAAAAAAAAAACAAGTCGGACAGGCACGGATCCAGTTAAAATCTTTTTTTTATTGGGTAGAAGGGTTCACCCAAGTAAAATAAAAATCTAAACCAGACATGCACAAAGGACAAGATAGGGTAACAGCCGATTTTTTTTATATAAAAATCAGAACACTGAAAAAACTGTGATAGTTTGTAGTTAAGAAGTTAAAATGATGCTTACTTTAAGACAAGCACTAATTTTGATTCAAAGGCTACATGGAAGCCGCTAAAGGGTTCAGAAATAGGACATTTTCCCGAATTTCCTCAATTCTGGTGGATTTTCATCATATTTTGGGTGCATTTCTCTTCGAAAAACATAGAGCACACGCTTGCCTATCTGAGATTTTTACATATATACTGCATCTGATATCAGAGTATAAAATATATAAATTTGGTAGATAGACAAGCGTGTGCTCTATGTTTTCCGAAAGAAAATGTGCTGTAAAATTAGTGAAAATTCGCAAAAAAATGAGAAATTTCGAAAATTGACCTATTTCCTGACCTCACTGCGACCTCTGTGCATTCTTAATCTTAAAACCAGTACTCATTTTGTGGCAGGGGTGAAAACAGGTTTTCATGAATAAACTGTTGGATCATTCTGAAAGACACCCAAAATCAGGGGCCAAAAACTAGTCTTACCCTATCTTGTCCTTTGTTGACAAGCAAAATTTAGATAAATATAAGAGGCAGTACAATCGTAGTGGCAGGACAAGAAGAAATTTACTTACGGGAGACTTTGAGTGACTCTGAGTGAATCAATTTATATTATTATATGATTTAATAATTACCATCTCTCTGATTGGCTGAGATCCAACTATGTTAGGAAAAAATTACGTTGTATTGACCTGTACGTAACGTTCCAGGTCAATACAAGAATTTACTTCCTCTACATTGATCTAAAAATAGATTTGGGAATTCCAAATTGATATAAATTGTATTAGAAAGCTATTTAAACGACTATGATTTTTATTTTCATGTGGACAAAACATAAGCGAATAAAGATTTTAGGTGAGGGTGGTAGGAGGGGATGCAGGGACCCCCCTCCAACACTTTTACTGGAAAAACATTTTTTTTTACTTTTTGCTGTCAGTTTTCCCTGATAATACTCCTACCTTTCGAAATCTATCCTACAAAAAAACTGACATTATATATTTCTTTTATGGCTACTAAAATTGATTTTTCAAGAAAAAAATTGACACGACTGTTAAGGTTATGAAAATCTAATTCTGCTACTCTCTTGTATTTGGCTAGGACTTAATAAAATGCAAACAAGTAATGAGCTGTATCATTTTATCAGTGAATCATACAATGAAACAATCATTGCTGTTTTGAGGACAAAACAATGATTTAGCCATCTTCGAAGTACATATTCATATTCATTTCAATGCCTTGCCTGTCTAATATACATACCTTTACTGTGTCACATGTCCTAAAGGGCCTGTTGAACACCAGGCACCCATGGTCCTCCTTGTAACGGAAGTGATGAGAAGCAATGGGAGGTAATATATAATACAAAGTCTTTCTGTCAATTTTTTTTGTTCGCTTCTGATAGGCTGATCCATTTCTGAAATAACGTGCTTTTTGGGGCCCTACAAACTTTCTTAATGATGCATGCTAGAAACTGCAATTATTGTGACATATTTGCCTTTGGAGAGTGGAGGGTGAGGGGTTATGTCCTAGCTGAGCAAGCTTCCTTCACCTCCTTTTCATTTCTATGCTTGTGTTAAAGATAAATATGTATATTTGTCACCAATTTATTACAAAACATGCAAGAATGCAGGGCATTCATGTTTTGAATTGCTTGAATTCTGTTCATATTTCTTCGAATAAATCTGTATTTTTCTCATCCAAAATATATTTGTTTGTAAATTTGAAAATTGAAAATGTGGAAAATCTGTCACCAATTGAGCAAGTCTGGGATATTCTTGGTTGTCGTTTAAGGGGTCCCAACCTTCTGATATAAATTTCACTTAAAAAAAAATAAATTTTGTGATATTGATTTTCATAAACTAGCATAACATTAAAGCCACATGGAAAAAAGTTTGCATTATTATAGCGCTGGTTATTTTTTTTCAGAAATGATATTTATGTTAGATCATGATATGAAGAAATTGAACACAGGGAACAAAAAAATGGATATGGAAATAACAAACATTACTCATCTCAACGTCCATGAAACAATATACAAAATAAGAGCAGAGCAAACACGGACCTCCGAAACATCAGAGGTGGGATCAGGTGCCATTACATTTCCTGGTAGACCGGCGCAGCTGCCTAGGCTAAAAGACGGGTGGACGAAGAGGTTGCCTGACTGGGTTTTCATCATTCATCCGTCGTCCACGTAGTTTTCCCCAAAAGTAGAATATTTAAAAAAAAAATACCTGTTTTAAAATCCCTCATAATCGCAGCATCAAACCAAGTAAAGGATTGGGACTCGATGCCAATTCTTGGTTGTTTAAACTTTCTTCGAATGGCACAAGTAATGACATAGGAGGACGAAAGAAACAAAAGAGTTGTCACACCAATGCATTATCCATATATTCATGGTTTGTCTAAAAATACGAAAGAAAGAAATATAAAAAATTAAATGCTAGTTATTCCTGGAAGAGAAATTTAGAATGTAATTAATTACAAATTGAGCATATTTTACTTCAATGATATAAAATAATAACTGAATGTGATTGCAATTGATTCAACCGTCCTTGTAATGTTCTGGGAGGATGGTCGAAGGTCTCTGAGGTCCAGGTGGTGTGATGTTTGTTTTGAAAAATTAGGGTTAATTGAAATAATTCTTTTGAGAAAAATCTCAGAAAATCTTTGAAATAAAAAAAAAATCCTCGAAAATTGAGTCTTTTATAAAAAGGAAGGAAAAAAATCGAAATATATATACCTGTCATTTCACTCCATCGATTTGTATGGTTGTTTACGAGTTTCTTTCGATTTCAGTGCATTTCACAATTGAGTGGTGGACAATGAATCTTTCGAGATGTTCAAACTTCATCAAATTGAGTTATCCGCCTAGTTTACCGATGATGGCAATCATAATGCATTCGATGAGAAAAAAAAAATAATTTATGATGAACGAAGTGAAAAAAAGAAGGAAATCTTTTGAAGTTGAAATGAAAAAAAGCTAAAAGTATGGAGATATGCATAGTAAATGGAGTCTTCCGCTATGCGGAGTAATAGTTCATACTATAAATGAACAAAAAGAAAATTCAACTGCCCTTGTGAAAGATTGACTATTATTACAGGTTTTTGTTATAGTATCTGCACTAACGATTGAACGCAATAATTAACTTTAAATCACAGAACCATTTGCTTCACTATTCCCCAATTAAAACACATGGTTTTGACCATTGCCTGAGGAGATGTACGTTTCTACAGAGAAAGCTGTTGTAAAACCTGTGGGGAGGGTAATTAAGGGAGCTGCTGAAGGATTGAGTGATGAAGCTGCACTCGGGATGGGTGCTGGAAATGACGGAACTGATGCAGAAGGAGTTGATGAAGCTGCAGTCGAATCGGGTGCTGGAATTGACTGGACTGATGCAGGACCTTCGAAGGGTACATGTACATGGTGCATTGTAATAGTTGATGGAGCTGATGCAGGACTTTGAAAGGGTACATGGTGCATTGTTATAGGGTAAATAGGTGACGAAGCTGCTGGAGGACTTGGTACGGGAACTGGGTGAGGAATTGATGAAGATGCTGTTGGGATGGGTGCTTGAATTGTAGGGGAACTAACTGATGGAGCACTGGTTGCATTGGCCATTTTATGCCTAAATGCATAAGAAGTTGACCTTGAGTATTTTTCCCTTTGCCATTGCAACTAGTGCCCCATATGAGTCCGTAACATTATGAATCAGTACCCTTTTGTTTGAGCTGAAAAGGTTTTTTTTTAAATCAGCACATTGATGGAATTTAATTGTCAAAACTTTAAGCATGATTTTGATTGGATGCGAGTGGGAAGCGGTATTAACAAGTTTTGAAATTTTGTTTTTCTTATTTTGCTGTCGGATCGTTTTGAATTTGGTTTGCCAGATAGGGTCCGAGTGCTCGACAGCTTTTAATTTCTGATACAAATGTTCCTTACTTTGCTATGTAAGATCCTGGAACAGTAGAACACATGGATAAAAGTATTAGAGGATATAGTGCTCTCCCCTGAAGAAGATGAGAGAGCTGGGAGTTTGATTTGGAACAGGGGAGGAGCTTGCAGTTGGACGTTTCATAGATGCTGTGGCAGGAGAAGATGTAGAGCAATGAGGAGGAGGAAAAGAGGGAGATGTAGGGCAAGGAAAAGGAGAAAATGCAGTGACAGGAGGAGGTGAAAACATGACAAGATGGAACATAATGGCCGTGCTGTGGGTAGCAGCGGCCAATCTTCATCCTTGCTGATGGTCAGGGTAGATGTCTTGGCAGTAGGTGATGAAAGGAGAGCAGTCCTATATAGTAGATGGAGGAGATGCTGGTGGTGAGGCTGAGACTACTGGAGGTGGGGAGACGTCTACATGGTGATTGGCCCTCTCGATGTTTTGTGATGGTACCCTGCCGGCTGCGGTGAAGCCCATCTTTGCTGAGTAGTTGTCATTCAATTTCCCAATGCTTCAAGAACGTAGTGTGGCCAGCATAATGCAGTTGATGGAGTTTTGTAGACAGGCTGGCTGGCCCTCGAGTTGAAGTCCATGAGGAAAGCAGGTATCGGCAGGCCCGTGGAAAATCGTTCTCTGCTCTTGGTAGCACACCGGACAGGAGGATATAGGCAGACGGGTTGGTGAGGGCCTAGAACTCCCTCAGCATGGTTCACACGGAAATCGGTTAAGTGACTTCTGCCAATATTTTAGTCAAGTCAGTCATTAGAAATGAGGGGAAAACATTATTTTTAATCCTATACACAGAAGACGAAATCAGTGACATAGAAACTTTATGTTGCAGAGGACAGACAAAATAGTTGTTTACAAAACTTACAAAACTCTGTATGTACTCACATTTGATAGATTAAAGATTTTTAAAGAGATTGTGTTGCGGAAAAGTATATGTTTATTGTAAAAATCAAGACTTTTTCTCTCCCTAAGTTAGCGTATTCTGTTTCTTGACCTACATGTTTGATACAACTAGATTTTTATGCATAATTTAATAAAACGGATGAATAAACAAACAATGTTTTGTTTAAAGTTAAACTACATATATTTCCGTTCCCCGGTATAACAATTTTGTGTTTTGAACATGTTATTTATTATTTTTCGACACTTTCTTCTGTGCCCGTTCGAATTTCCTCGTCTTGTTAACAAACTTTTGTGCTCGAGAAATGAGGTAAATAAAAATGAAAAGTAATTTATTTTTTTTTTTAATTGAAAACAAAGGTGTAGACGAATCAGTTTTGCATGTTTGTGATTTTTAAAAAAATATATATTTTTTAAATAAGAGTTATCGTTCTTGAATTTCGTGCGTTGCATTAAGGGAAGGAAAACCCTTGTTAGGGGTATACCCCTGTTTGGGGGTATACCCCCGTTTGAGGGTTCGACTAGACTGATTAAAGCTATATATGGCGTATCTGAGTTAAAAAATAAAAATACAAGATTAAGCAGAGATTTACACGATATTTGTTGTTTACATTCAAATTAAAATTTTCATCTATCTTGAATTTGAATATTCTCACGTTTCTGTTACTTAAATTTACTTTAAACTATGTCTGACATTTATTTACGAGTCGGAAATAATTAAGTTATTGTTTAAAATTCTGCGAAATCTTTGAAATGCAATTTATTTAAATTGTGTTATTTACAGGAAAGTCTTCTGTTAAGATAAAATAACAAAACAAATAGAAAGATCTTTTTTATTTTAGATAGTCAGAACTTGTCCAAAATACGCCATATATCACTTTAAACAACAGTTTGATCTTTTAAAAAAAGATTCTGTATCTGTATCTGTACTTTGAAGTAATCTATGTAGGCTTTTATGCAACGCTTATAGAATAGAATATGTTATGAACAATTATAGCAACATTATTTTGATGTTTCAGTGTGTGTATACGTATGTTAGGTAGAATGTTCTATCGTCATGATCAATGTCCTACGGACCCGGTTGAGGGCTTGTACTGAGACACAGTTAGATTATTCTAACTATATGTATGTGTGAATAAATAAAATGTAAAGCAGTACTTAATTGCGGGAAAATAAAAAAAAGAGTATATGTATACATTACAAATATGTAAAATAGAACAAGAGTGCAATTATTTTTTTTGAAAAATACAAGTTCTAAAAAAAATTGTAGAATTGTGCAGGCAGTGTGCGTCTCAGAAGCAGTTTGGGCCAAGGAGCGTGAATGTAGATTTTGAAGAGGATATAGGTAACTCAATTTTAATACCGAGACAATCTATAAAATTTATTTGATCACACAAACATTCCATTACATATTGTTTATTGCATTTAGATAGCGTAAACACATTAAAAAATGTAAGCTCCCAAGTGACCAATATATAGGATTCTCTATTTTTTTCACAGAATATAACGCAAATATGCCAAAACTTACTATTTTTTTCTTTCAGGGATCATTCATTGTTGTCAATATAGTAGTAGTAGTCTTTTTTTCCTCCAGTAATTTAAAATAAATGGGTTAAAATGAATTCACGGGTGTTTTGTCCTACCCTAACAAGCAGGGATTTCACTCTCCCTCTGTAGTCCCACTCATTTCTGTGAAATGCATCTTTTTAATGTCCCTTTATGGTACTCTTCTATGTTCTTCTATCCATCGTTTGAGGATAAGCACAAAGACTATATGCAATGATATACATTGTGAAGCTTTGTCTTTGATATAATGCCTAAAACTGAATCGCAGGTCTCCTTCCACATCTTCGATTTATAGGCGTGAGGTGAAGTCTTTCTTATTCGGTCATTTTTTCCGTAGCTCTCTTCTGAATAAAAATAATTCTTCTGCCCATGTGGGTTTGCTAGTTCATGCGACACATTATGGTCAAAGCCAAGCAGTAGTGCCTCAGTGTCCGTTAAATTTTTGTACAGCTTTACAAGTACCCCCGTCCTTCATCAAACAGCTCCTGAAAAGCAATTTTTGAATGGTTTTATCATAACAAAAATTGCACTAAAAATAAGAATATACAAATGTAACATATGCGATTAATTTGTACTGGTCAGCTCAGCGTAAATAACTTGGCGGAGATAGCACACGTGGGCGCGATCATACAGAAGCAGGTTAAGAGGTAAACAAATAAAAAAAGTTGAACTTTAACCTGGCCAGTTCCAAGAAATGAATCGTTTATTAGGAAAGGCATCTGGTTAGGAGGAAGGAGCGACCAATAACATTGAAGTGACCAGAGGTCAAATATTTGGATAAATTAATTACAGAAAACAATATTTAAAGATTATGCAAAAGATCGGCAATTATTTTTAAAGTGCATTAAAAGTTTAAAAAGTATTCAAGTTCAGAATAATAGTAATTAAAATTCAAATCAAAATATAAAGTAATTATTGCAAATTTCGATCGAGTTACAAATATGGAGATGGAAATCTACAAACGTAAACCTGGTATGAAATGAACGGCCAGGATAGACAAGATTTCAGTGGAAAGCTGAATCTTGACTGCCTTGGTTGTATTTCATACAGGTGAGATAATTTTCTAAACTTGCGCGGTTTTTGTTAAATGATTTAAAATTTTCACATGGCTTAATTTATTTACAGATAACATTTTTTTTATATTAGAACTAATACTGTTTAGTATAATGTTTAGTATATTGTGTGAAATGATTTATTGTAATCATAAAGATTACAAATAGATTGTTTTATTAAATAAAGAGTGGAAAGCTGAATCTTGACTGCCTTGGTTGTATTTCATACAGGTTGGGTAACATCTCCACTCCCCAACCATGGCGGCGGCTCAGGTCCAGAAAGAAAATGGCAATGAATTAAAAATAAATATAATAAAAGAAACAAACTGAGATGATATCATTCCGGTACCTCCACAGGCCAAGCGAGAGTTCAGAATATCGGTACCTCTCACCTTATAATAATGAAAATCGAAAAATTCAATTATTTAATTTTTTATTTTATACAATATGGTGGAGAAATGGGGTCAGATTCAGAAAGAGGGAAAGCCTTTGACAGTTCTCTAAGTCAACCCACCAGACGAGGATTAGTGCACGATCCCGCTGGATTTTCGGACAGAGGACTCGAGTAGGCGAGACTTGGACCAGAGCCGTCAAACGATCTACGAGGCCAAGAGAACTTAAAAATATTAACACTCTCTGGGTAGGACCAATTATAGGACTAACACGTTTTGACAAACTTTTGCCGACCGTGCGTTTAATAAAACAGACGAAACGAACTATAAACGAACTAAAGAAATCCTAATTGTGCGAACAGGACATGGTAACTATACTACCAATCCGTACTTTGGTGACCATAAACACGAACAATTTTATATATTTGGATAACTACAGTGGTTCCGTGCCGAAGCCCTTGCTTCCGATTCTAAGAGCATTATCCAGTTGTTGGACAGTTTATTTGTGTCCTATGAATAAGACTTTGAAAAAAAAATGACAGTACAGGTAGGACAGTATATATATATATATATATTTTTAAAAATGCATACCTTTGTTATGCAAGATTTTTTTTTACGACGATGGTTTTTAGAATATTGTCATATTGTTGAAATTATTTTTTACATGGGCAATGTTTTATAATTTACCTGATATAACAATTGTTGACGCTTATGAAAAAATATTAAAAAAAATGCTTGCAATATAAAAAGTACTCGTCAGGT